TTGAAAAAGAATGAATTAATTGTTTTGATTTGAAGAATAAATTATTTAATTTTTTTAATTAGTGCTGACCACGAATAATTTATTTTTATTTTAAAAAATACCTTTTTTCATATTTGTACTTATTTTTCTTTCTCTATTTCTTAAAATAAAAAACAACAAAATTGAAATAACAAAAAGGACAAAAAATTTAGTTTTTAAAACCGAGGGACTAATGGTGTTATGTAAGGATATACATAATTAATTTCCAACAAAACTAATATATATATATATATATATATATATATATATATATATATATATATATATATATATATATATATATATATATATATATATATATATATATATAAACAAATATTTAAAAAAAACATCTAAGTTATATGGAATATATTAAAGTTCAATAAATTGAAATAAAAGCTGCTAAAAAATTGGTTTCTATAAATTTTACTTCTTAATCTATGATGAAAGAGATTCTTGAACTACAAATTAAATTATAATTGGTTCATCTCATTTTGAGAAATAAATTTTTTAATCAGCGTTAACCATGAATAATTTATTTTTTATTTTATAAAATGTCTTCTTTTTTATATTTTTACTTTTTTTTATTCTTTCTCTATTTTTAAAAACAAACAATAAAAACATTCAAATAGCAAAAAGGCAAACAAAAAATTTTTTTTTGAACAACATGGACTAATTAATTTATTTCTCAAAGAAAGAGGAACTAATTTATAATCACTCTTGAATAGCAAGTGACTTTGGCTTCCCTGTAAAAATAAAAAGAAAAAAATTGAAAGAAGGCAAGAGCATTAAATGCTCAATCCGAAAAAAAAATGACGAAAAGGCCCAAAAATAAAATTAAAAAGAGAATCAATCAAGGTAAAAATGAAGTTTCTCAAATCCATCGAGTTTCAAAAGAGAAATTAACGAAAAGGTAGGGATGAAAATCAAGCAACACAATGAATACAAAATCTAAGTCTAAAAAATAGTAAATATCTCAATTCATTTAGTTTTTTCCTACTAATATAACTTAAATTAAAAATAAAAGATAGAAATTTTATTTAGTTTCATAATTTTTAATTAAATTTTGTATTTCATTCGAGCTTCGTTACGTTTTTCATAGGTTTTGTCGTTAAAAAAGCACGATTCGTTTTTTTTCTATTCATTCATTTTTTAATAAAAACCTATAATAATATAAATTTAAATTTTTTAAAAATATCTTAATATTTTTTTATAAGACCATATCAGAGAAATATATCGAATCTATAAAAATCTATATAAAAATTAACTAATGAATTTTTCAAAACTTTTTAAAAATATGTACAGTTGATATATAGACATACACACACAAAAAACAATCAATAATTGTATTTGAATTATTAGGTGGTTCCTTTAAAATATTATTTTATTTAAAATAAATTAAATTTTGAGTATTAAAAATAAATAATAGGAAATAGCTAGTGTTATATGTGTAAATGCAAAATTAATTTTTAATAAAATCAATGATCTCAATACTTTTTTGTATACACCATTACCATCTATGTACAAATTAAAAATTACGTTAAAAAAAATTAAGTTATAAGAAATATATTAAAGTTAATAGAGAATAATAAAAATAATTTAAAATTTTATTCCAAAAAATTGATTATATCAAGAATAAGGTAAAGGAACAAGTGAAATCTATTATTTATTAAAAACATATTAAAAATTCATACACAGAGAAAGATAAATCATATTTATTAACAAATAAAATGTTATAAAAAATAAAAAATTTAATTTGTTGATAATTTTTTATAATAAACGACAAATTTAAGAGATTAATTTTAATCAATAAAAAATATAATTCGATATATATATATATATATATATATATATATATTATTATTAAATTTAAAAACATAAGAAGTCAAAAACATCTTTTTAAACTATAAGGAACAAAAAATATGTTTTGAAAAAAATGTTAGAAACAAATGGATTAAGTTAAAAACATGAGATGTCAAAATATTTTTAAAAAATATGAGAATTTAAAAATATATTTTGAAAACATAAGGAACAAAAAAGGAATGAAGTATAAAAATTAAAAATGAATATCCAAAAAGCTAAAAAAAATTATGAAAATGTCATTATAAAAAATTACAAAAATGCCATAATATGAATGGTGAAACAAGACAAATGAACAGTGAATAAATAGTATTTTATTGTTAATTTACCTCGCTTCTTTTAGTTATATTGTAATTACCAAGTTAGCTGATTTGTAGCATAAGCTAATGGAAGTGCTTAATCGATAAAATTTTATACGCAAATACTGTAATAATAATAAAAAAAATTCATAGGAGCACTTAATACATGAACTCACCTTTATTAGAGAAAATTGCCACGTTAGCTGATTTGTAGCATAAGCTAACAGAAGTACCCAATCGATAAAATTTTATAGCACAAATACTCTAATAAAAAAAAAATCCATAGAAGCACTCAAATAAAAAAGATTATGAAGTACAAATATTCCATATGCTATTATCTCATGATAATAATAATAATAATAATGGTACTGCTAAATTTACTAACCAAAGTAATTATTCCTGTCATTTTAAATAAAATTATCAATACACCCACCATCAATATTTGTGCTATAATAGTTTTTGGTAATTGGTGAATGGTGTATTCGTAATTGTATAAAAATGATGGAAATAATAAAAAATGATGAAAATAACAATTTAGTTAGTAAATTTAGCAGTACCCTAATAATAATAATAATAATCATAATAAAAGGTCTAAGACCATGGTATAATTTCTTTCTCAGTTTTTGTTCCTCCCCATTTCTTTCTACACATAAGAAGTTTGTTAGAAAACCTCAATTTAATCCTAAATTTATTTTCTATTAAGTCTCAGACGTATAAATATTATAAAAAATTTATAATCAAGTCTTTTTATTGATGTTCATCAATATTTTCTTTAAATTGAAGCCCTTTAGTGCATAAAATATGTACATTAGATAGAAAATATTATTTTTCATTCACTCTTTTTTATATTTGTTTTAAATCAACACCATTTTAGTGCATAAAATATATACACAAGGCTAAAATTATTAAAAAATTGAAAAAAATATGGAATTGAGAAATGCAAGAAATATTTAGAATGTAATAGATACAAACTAGTTGGATGTCCTCGCTACTGCGGGTTGAGCGAGAACAAGTGAAATAATTTTAATTTGATAGCATGTACTATATTACAGGTATCGTTAAGATATATTGAATCAAGTGTAAAAATAAATATCTAATTTTATAATTTATTTTTTCTTATGTTTTTCATAAATTTTATAGTTAAAAAACATGATTTGTTATTTTTTAAGCATTGATTTTTAAATAAGAACTTGCAATGATCTAAATAGAATATTTAATCAAAAATTTTAAAAAATACCTTGATATTTTTTTATAATATTGAATAAAAAAATAAAGAAAAATTAATATAAAAACTTGTATAAAAATTAATAAATAAATATTTTTCTTCATTTTTATTTAATTATGATAAGAAGATTATTTTTTAAAAATATGCACATTTGATTTATATATATTTATTCATAATCAATAATATTAGTATAAAAACTATATTTAAATAATTTGATGGTTTTTCTAAAATATTATTTCAATGATTTTTTCTCAAAGAATTTTATTTTAGAATGTTAAAAAAATAATAATAACAAATGGTTGGTATTATGTGTGTAGATACATAATTAATTTATAATAAAATCAATTATCTCATTTTTTTTATTTACATTATTGATCACAATCAATGAGTTCGAGTGTGCAACATAAACAAAAAACTATTTTAAAAAAATAAATTGCAAGGAATAAATTAAAGTTAAAAGACTGAAATAAAAAAATTACAAAATTAATTTTGATAAATTTTGTTTATATAAAGAAGAAGGAAATAAAACACTTGAATTCAATTGTTTTAATTGATTTTTTAGAAGGTTTGAGGCAGATTATCTTAAATGTACTTTTAGCCTTTTAACAAATAAAATTATATAAAAAATATTAAATAATAATATTCTAAAATTTTATTTAAAAAATTCATAGATAGAGAAAAATAAATCATATTTATTAACAAACAAAATTATATATATATAAAATAATTTTATGAGAATTTTCATAAGGAAAAAATAAAAAATCAATTTTAAAAATAAAGAGTAATATATACATATATATATATATATATATGTTTATTGTAAATTCTAAAAATATATCATATATATTTCATTACCTTTAACCTATGTGAAAAACTAAAAAAAAAATAATGATTAATTTTCTATAATTTTTTTTACTCAATTTAGTAATAAAAAAATAGGTAAAAAAGTAAATAGAAAGCATTTTAATGCACGTGCGTGCTGACACACACACATCAAATAAAAAAATTCAAGTGTTTTTTTTTTTAAAATTTCAATATACCTCTTTCAATTATTTTATAACTTAAAATAGCTATGAATATATTATTCTCATCAAGATAAACGATATTAATGTAAGATTAGTCGCAAAAGAGGCCGAAATTAAAGCAGAAAGTGGCTTTCTCTCTAATTTTTTTGCATTTAGATATCAAATTGTGACATAAATAAATTTAAAAATCAAAATATAATTTTTGAAAATATCATTCACTAAAAGATAATATTAGAAAAAATCTGGACATAAATGCTTTATTACAGCTTAAAAATTATGAAAATACCAAGACACAGGAAAGCATAAGCGAACATAAATTGATAGTATTGTGTGAGTGTATGAATAATGCAGCGAATAGTAAATAATCATCTTTTAATGGTTTTTTTAATTATTATTTTTTAATTACAAACTCAAGATGCAATTTAGATTTGAGAATAAATATACAGGTTTGGAATTCCATCGAGGTTTTCCACGTTTGTTTTTCTTGTAAGAATGACCCAGGACCCCACTTGAAAGAATGTCTAAATTCCGTAAGGACCAAAACACTCTCTCTCTCGTCTGCCATCTCTTGCCATGGCAAACACCACATGGCTTCTCTACTACTTAACTCACCGCCGATTCTCACTTTCATTCAGGTCATTCTTCTTCATCCCTACATCCTTAGCCCTCTTTACTTCTCTCTTCATCCTCTTTTACATTTCCACCACCTCCACTCTCTTCTTTTCTCATCAAAAGCCATCCATACCTCACCTAAACCAACCACTTTTATCTGGGTCATCATCTATCCCCCAAAATAAAATTCCTGTTCCATTTAACAATAATACTAAAAACCCTTCTGTTCATGTATCCAAAATCAGTCGCTCGAAAGAGAATAGCAGTGATGGAAAGGAAAGTCAACGGTCTTTGTGGCCTCAATTGAGCTCCTCTGATGGTAAGTTCATTTGGAACCAATGTTTTTGTTGTTGAATTTGTTTGTTATTTTGGATTTTCTTTTGGGGGTGGAATTGTTTTTTTGCAATATTTAGAATTAAGTTATTTATTTAGCTCAAGAGTGGCTTGTTAAGTTTTAATAGCTTTTAATTAACTGAATTGTACTTCAATTATAAAAAAAAAGGGGAAAATGGTGCAAGTTCAAAGCTTTTAGCATTAAAGGTTAACTTGATTGACAGAAGGGAGTTTTATGCACAACCAAGGTCTTCCAAATTATAATTGTCAAGTGTTTATAAGTGGTTTTATTAAAAACATTGAGAGCTGGAATTTTTTTTTATTGGAATTGAGCATTATTATTGTTATGCTGTGAGATAATATTTCCAGTTGGATTTCTTGAGTAGACTAGGATCTAACAGAAATGCCGACCATTTTGAGAATTAGAATCTTAATGTGAGTTTACTCCGTAAAAAATGTGATCATTGTTTTGTTCTAGCTTCGAAGAGCTAATATCTTCTGTCTTGGACAAAATTTCTAATGCTATGAAATGAATGCCATGCATTTGATTAAGTTCCTTATTTGTAATGAGTGTTAGGTGACTATAATCTACCCTAAAATACCATAAGTTCCTTTGATGTTGTAGAGATAATACCATAACTTCCTTATTCTCAAAATGAGTGCTACAAGAGCATTTCTTTTTTCCCTTTCTTTCTTTCTTTAGGGGGTTCTTCCCTAATCCCTAGTAGATTTGAGCTTCATCATGTTTAAATAAAAGAGGTAACTTTGTCAGACACCAAGCCTGTGTTTATGCTCCTTCCTGCAATGTATGGACACGCAGATGTTCTTTTGTTGCGAGCAAAAAACATATATAACAATGATGGAACATAAATTTTCCAATCTTTTAGACATGAAAATTATCAATGCAGGCCTTTTTCGGATGCTGATCTAAGTAGACTTTGTGAAGCCTTCTAGTGTCCTGATAATTATCAATTCTAAATAAAAGAAACCTAATTTGTAGAGGAGTTTCCGATTTGATTTATCATTGTATTGGTTCTTAAATGGTAAAGGTTTTTCTGTGGATTCAATCTCATTACTAGCTTGGAGGTCAAACAACTTTTTGATGTGGGTTGGGTTAGCGGGATTTAAAGAATGTTGAGCATCTATGAAATTTTATTTTTTAACTTCAGGATCTGGAAAATGTTGGTTTCTATTGTTCAGGAATCTATGTGAATAACGAGGTGTTCCATGATAAAGATATCTTTCTGGAAGACTATAGACAAATGAATAGGAGCTTTAAGATATATGCTTATCCTCACAGGCGAGATGACCCATTTGCGAATGCACTCTTTCCGGTTGATTCGGAACCTGGGGGCAATTACGCCAGTGAAAGTTACTTTAAGAAGGTTCTTATGAAAAGTGATTTCATCACAAAAGATCCAGCAAAGGCAGATCTTTTCTTTCTTCCCTTTTCAATTGCAAGGTTGCGGCATGACCCTCGAGTTGGTGTAGGAGGTATCCAAGATTTCATCAGAGATTACATCTTAAATGTAAGCCAGAAGTACCCATATTGGAATAGGACAGGTGGAGCTGATCATTTCTATGTTGCTTGTCATTCCATTGGCCGGTCAGCAATGGAGAAGTCAGAGGAAGTAAAATTTAATGCCATTCAAGTTGTTTGCTCTTCAAGCTATTTCCTTTCTGGATACATTGCTCACAAGGATGCCTCCCTACCACAAATTTGGCCCAGACAAGGAGATCCTCCTAATCTTGCGTCGTCAAAGAGGTGAACATAAGCAGTTTCATTCTGGTTGCCTGCTTCTGATTAAAACAGTACACATGGACTAGTTGTAGTTGTAAAATTGCTCTCGAGTTAACAAGCATGCACGGAAATTTGGATTGCACTTGCAAAAGTACATTCGTGCTATTTAACTGCTAGGTTTTACTCCAGATGTCACCTCACTCACTGTGTGAAATTTGATCGCAGGAAGAAACTTGCTTTCTTTGCTGGATCAATCAACTCCCCTGTCCGCGAAAGGCTTCTTGATTCTTGGAGAAATGACTCGGAGATCTTTGCCCACTTTGGTCGGCTCACAACACCTTATTCTGATGAGCTACTTGGAAGCAAGTTCTGCCTCCATGTCAAAGGCTTCGAAGTAAACACAGCTCGAATTGCAGATTCGCTATATTATGGTTGCGTTCCAGTTATCATTGCCAATCACTATGATCTTCCATTTGCAGACATTCTGAATTGGAAGAGCTTCTCAGTTGTTGTTGCCACTTTAGATATTCCATTGCTTAAGAAAATCCTAAAAGGTCTAAGTTCTGACCAATATCTGAAGTTTCAAAAAAAAGTATTAGAGGTGCGAAGACATTTCCAGTGGCATCTTCCTCCAGTTGATTATGATGCATTTTACATGGTGATGTATGAATTATGGCTGCGACGGACTTCTGTGAGGGTTCCCTTGAGTGCGTCTATGAACCCAAATCACTGATTAGACATTTTTTCTATGGTGATTCAGCAGCTCCCACAGCATTGAGAATTCGTATAAATGTTCATTTTTATTTTTTTAGAATTAATTTTAATTTATCCTCCAGAGGGATTTCTCAATTTCTCCCTTTAGATTTTGCTTGTATCAGTTACTCGTTGAACTTTACTCAAAGTTTCTGTTCTTTCTTTCCATTTATTAAAACTAAACATAACAAACCATAGGATATTTTTTATGTTTTAATTGACTTCCCAGAGCACTAAAAAATTCTCAATAAAATGTTTATTCTTCACTTATATTAAAATTCATAAAATTTATCTCATCAATTTTTTTTTCAAAAAAAGTTAGTTCAGTCATTAAATGTCATATCATCTTATGAATTTTAATATGATTCGAAGGAATGATATAAAATTTCAAATGTGATTTGGACAAAAATATATTTAGGGTATTAATTTTATTATATTAAACTTTATATTTTACATAATTAATACATGTTTTTGGTTTTTATTGTTTAAAAACGAGAATATAAAAAAATAATATAAGCTATATTATTATTATTATTATTATTATTATTATTATTATTATATTTATTTAAAAGCTATGTTAATTTGATATTAGATAGTTATGATTTCATCAAAATATAAAAGATTTATAGTTTGAGTTTGTGCATTTTTTTCACATGTTAAAATTTATAAATATGAGATTAAACATAGAAAATATAATCCTAAATCTTATTAAGTATAAGATAAAACTCACATGTTTTCTTCACGGTTGCTAAGGGGGTGCCTCAATCCTTACCACATTTTTGTAACGTGTGGTTAATCAAGAAACATTCCAAATGGGCAATGCCTCTTCAACTTTCAAGTCTCCAATCAAACGATCCATGAAAGCTAAAAAAAAAAAAAATATATATATATATATATATATATAATAGCAGAACTAATGTTGATAGTAAAGACAAAGAGGGGGTCCCTTTTCAAAGTCAGCAGATCTAGTACTTTCTAAATCCAAATCGTACAAGTATCCTCCCTGTGCTGTCTTTTTTTTCAAAACAAAATATAGGATACAACGCCACACGCCACCAGTATTACTCTTCTTCTCTTCTCTTCTGCTAGCTGATATGACTTTCTCTTCTCTTCTTTCTAAGTTAGATTTAGATTCGATCTCCTCCCAAATCCACTTCCAATCTGAATTCAATTCAATTCTTTTTCATTCCCTTCTTCCTTACAGATAAAAACCACCCTAACACATCATAAAAGTAACAACTTTCCTTCCAAATCCTTTCGTTTTTCAAGCAAACCAAAGTCAAAGAATTCAATTCAATTCCCAAATCTTATGTTTTGACCTCATCACTCCAGGTCCCCGGGGAGCTTGTAAGTCATTGGATAACACTTGAATTCAATCCCGTTTCTTTTGTTTTGTATGATTGATTTTGTGGTTCTGGATTTGATTTTCTTGGAATTGGTGTAGGGTTTTGAATAAGTAATTGGAGGATTTGGATTTCGAGAGGAATTGGGCATGAATGAAGATGGTCTTTAAATCCAAGATTAAATGGATTGCTCTGTTTGTATTGATATTATCAATGGTGTCTCTAGTGGTTCACCTTTCTATTACAAAGCTTTCCAGCGCTTATTCGGTGCAGTCTAGTTTAATGCCCTCTAATGGAATTGATTTCACAACTCTCTTCGTACCACAGGTTTTAGTTTTGCTTTCTTTTGCTTTGTTTTTCAGCATCTGTTGTATTTCTTCTTCTTTTTTTTATCTGTTTTTTTTTCCTGCGATGTTGCAGAGTGATAGAGTTGTTAGAAATAAGAAGTTGTGGGGGCCTGTGAAGTCATTGACCTCGTTGCAGCCTTATGCCAATCCAAGAAGCAACTATCCTGGTAATGGGTTTTGCTGAAATTGTCTTTCATCTGTTTACATTTCTGTTTCTTTTATCTTCAGTGAGCTGATTTTTTGAATCGGTTTTTTTGTCGAAAGATGAGTTTCTTTTGGTTAGTAATTAGCTGCTGTGAAATTTGAAAATGTGAAATGGTTTCGATCAGTTAAGCTTTGTAGGAGTGTGTTTAAATGAACCGTGGATTAGTATGTTGCTGAGTTTTTCTCGGAAGGTTTATGTAAATCAATAGCTTCGTTGAGGTAATTTCTAGTTGGATCTGGTATCCATTTGACATGCTTCTGAGGGAGTAATCAATAAATTTTTTTAGAGAATTGAGCAATCATTCCATTTGGTCACTGTTCCACTTGTCATTTCCAGTTGGTTGATCTTGTATTTTGCTGATAGTGTTTGTGAGTTGGAGTTGTTCTTTATTTTGGTTTTGGAATACCTTACTTGATTCATCTGACAAATAGGTTAACAATGAAACCTTGTTTTATGTTGGTCCATTATTCTTATAACTCTCAATGCATGGTAGATGTGTTGATGTAAAGAGCCTAATTTTGGACAAAAACTCTACTTATCTAGTTCGATGTTGATAATCTGATGGAACTTAAACAGAATGTACAATGTCCACCACTATTTTTAATTATATTATTTACATACTTTTACATAAGTTATCTATTTAAAAACCTGTGAAAAAAGTGGCTGGCTTTATGCGTGTAGATTGTGGAAAATGTTGGTGACATTTTAAATTTTGGATGAAGGGAAACCACTACCTAGATTGAACCGTTGGTGCATGCAAATTGCTCCATTCATTTGTACTGGGTATGACTTGGACTTACGTTCATGGGCATGGATAGATAACCTTCAAGGAAGAGTTTGTACTTAATAGGATTCAACTCATGACCTACCCTTATCTCGCACCTCTTGCCAATTAGCCAACCCCTTGTTGTTATTTGTGGAATTATGTACATGTTGTTTCTTTGCAAGACCTGTGTATATATATGCCATATGGTGAATGTGCAGAAAAGAGCACTGTAATTATTTTGATTTATAATAAATTGCTTTCGCCAAAGCTGCAATCTTTCTTCCCATTTAATTTCTTCAAACAATGAGATGCTTATTTCCTTGGTTCTCTTGCAGTCTTGCAATGATCTTTATGAGTCTTATTTGAGAATTTCTATCCTTGTTAATTTTTATTTGCATATTTGTTTTACAGTTCCAAATGAAAAGAACAACGGTTACATTTATGCAAAACTTTTTGGTGGATTTGAGAAGATAAAATCCTCGGTATGATTCATTTAATGGTTTAAACTTGTTTTAATTATGATTTATAGTGGGAGTTCATAACATTTCTGTCAATTTTCTAGATCTGTGATCTTGTCATCATATCCAGGCTTCTAAATGCTACTCTTGTCATTCCAGAGATTCAAGAAAGTCTTCAATCAAAAGGCATTAGGTGATTTATTTTAGCTGGTTTAATGGTTTGTTTCTCTATTAATTTCTTAGGCTTGTAAAGCTTAAAGGTTTCAGTTTTTTCTTTTTTATTTCCGAATTTCAAACAGTTACAAATTCAAGAGTTTTTCATATCTCTATGATGAAGAGCAGTTCATAGCATCACTAAAAAATGATGTAATCATTGTGAAGAGCCTGCCTGAGAATTTGAAAGCAGCCAGGAGAAGGAATGAGGTCCGTACATATAAGCCCAAAAGATATGCTTCTCCAGATTTCTACGTTAAAGAAATTTTGCCCGTGTTAAAGAAATCCAAGGTTATTGGACTAGTTCTTCATGATGGAGGATGCCTGCAGGTAGGTGAATCTATTGAAATGTAGATCATAAAATGATCTTTATTATTGTGCAAATGCTCTCATCTCGAAGAGCGCCACCTTTCTACTTCTAATTATCCAAATAATTGATTGTTTTCTCTCATCTAATTTTTTTGTTCTGGGATATGACCTTTGTTTGGAGAATACTTAGTATGTGGATGATGATTGTTAATTATTTTTTTGTATTTGTCATGCATGGATAGGCGATACTCATTTCAATGATAGGAATATGTTGGTCCATCTAGCGCCCTTTATTGTAGGTTGATGCTCTTATTGATGATCATGGTCAGATCAGTGTCACGGTTCCCTTCTTCTTCCCACAAACTATGACCTTCAATGGCAGGAAATGGATTTCCCTGCATCTACATTGAGGACTTTGGATTTATTTACCAATTTTGGTGAGAATGTTCTTCTTCATTTGTACCCAACTTGATAGCTACCTCCTTGTTAACTTGGTGGGAATTTTGTTACTGTTTGGTGCTACTTTATCCTTTCTGCCTGTTTTTTCTTGCTATTTGAGGCCACTGTATTTGACATTCACCAAGTTTGGCATGTACAATTATGCAATGGGGCTTCTCAATTTAGGGCATTGAATTTGAGCATGCATGGCACCGTTGACATATATCATTTATTCTTGATAATGCTGTAATCTCTATTGATAACTTTCTTCTCAGTCAATTCTTCCACCGAGCATGTCTGAGTTTCAGAGGCTTAGATGTCGGGTTGCATTCCATGCTCTAAAATTTCGCCAAGAAATTCAGGTGCTTGGTCAGTTGATGATTCAGAGGTATAGTTGATTAGTTTCTTACCTTGCCTTTCCAATAAAACTATAATGCCAACTACCAGATGTGCATGATTTTCATTGGCTTAGCACTTTTTGTAAGAAAATGAACCATATTGCATAATAAATTGCACATGACTTCACAACTTATGAAGCATTTGCTTGCAGTTCTTGACATTAACCTCTTTTCTACAGGTTACGGGCATCTGGTCAACCTTTTCTTGCATTTCATCCTGGCTTAGTGAGAAACACCTTGGCATATCATGGTTGTGCAGAACTATTCCAGGCTAGTTGTTCAAGCCTTTTCTCCTCTATATCATTGTCATAATTAAAGTTGCATTGATATGTTTAAGTTTGATTTCTTTTAATTTTATTACTTATTTTGCTATTCAATTGGTCAGTAAGTAGTTTGACTTTCAATTTTCTGATTCTTTTCTATGTGAACTCCTACCTCAAAGATAGATGAAGATAGACTATATCAATATTTAATAGAGTCTAACTTTCCTAACTCCATCTTCTAACTTGGTACTTCTTCTAGGATGTTCATACCGAGCTTATACAGTATCGAAGGGCACAGATGATTAAGCAAGGGATTCTTAATGATGAGCTAAGTATAAAATCACATGTCCGTAGAGACAATGGGTCATGCCCCCTCATGCCAGAAGAGGTACACTCAGGGTTAAGGTTTAACTTTCAAGTCCAAACTGTTCAATGCATGCTTACTTGTTATCTAGATTGGAATTTGGTTGTTTGCACACTGTTGATACTCCCTAGAATTTGAATTATATTTACCAAATCATTTGCAAATTTCATACTAATTCAAGTTCTTAGGTGCTGTTTGGTAATCAAGAATAGAGTGGTGGGAATGAGAATGAAAGTTTTCTTTCTACGTTATAGCTGTTTGTTTGAAAGGAATGAAGTGGAAATGGGATTGAAAATTACGCACAACTTCATTTCCATTTAAAATGTGGAAATAAAAATAAGGAATGGGAATAAATTTTTTTTTCAAAATAATAAGATATTTTCTTTATTTATTGTCTATCAATTACTTGTACCACTACCACTACTACCACAAGCACCATCACAGCCCCCGCTCCCCCCACCCCACAAGCACCACCCTTGATAAGCACCACCACCACCGCCACCACAACCACAAGCACCATCGCCACTACCATCACCACAATAACCATCACTACCATCACCTTTATTATTTTTACGATCATTATAGTTTGATAAATTTATTTTTTTAACCATTATTTTTATTTGTATAAAAATTCAGATATTAAAAAATTTAAATTGCATTCCGATTCCTCATTAGTATTCCAAATACTGTATAAGAATACAAATGCCATTCCGATTCCAGCATTTCTTTTCTGGATTTTTCATTCTTGGTAACTAAACGACACTTTAAAGTTTTTTGCCTTTTAGTGGGGACTTTTTTTTAGATAGAGGAAAGTATCAACAGAAAGGGAAAAAAAGGTACAAGAACACTCTGGAAAATAAGACATCTTCCAGATAGTCCAATCCAACTAAATTATCTTTGAAACTCAAACGCCCTAGAAGTCCCATGTATTGCATTGCAAAAAAAGCTAGAATTGTCTAGAGGTTGACTTATCTTGAAAACGCCTACTATTTCTTTCCATCCAAACACAGCAAAGAAGACACCACATCGCCCCAATGTGAAAACCCACAAATTGATAGCAATCCTGCAGCAAGCTCAGAACCGGCTAAGTTTCTCCTTCCACTGCAAACAATCTATCCCATGTATTTCGACCACCATTGGGCAATCCAAAGTTGACTTTCTCCTAGCCATGGTAGGCTATAACACAGATTAACACAGATCTTGGGAGGAAGGCTTTTTACGAGAGGTGTTCTAGCTTACAACAAATTATTTCATCTTATTAAATGTTACTATCCAGATGAATGACTCAACTTTGCAGGGTCTTTTTAGCTTTCCAAACACACTTTGGTAAAACAAATTGTTGAATACTTGTGAATTCAGAAAGGTGGGAAATGAAGCTTAGATTGGAAGACCTTAGTTGAGAAAGAACACAAATCAATGACACAACAACATCAACTAAGCCTCGATCCAAATCAATGGTAGGGACTAGGGGGAAAGGATATTTAAGTTCAATTTTTAATTTAAAACAACAAAAAGTTCTATCATATTTTTAAAAGAGTAGTAAGCTTACTTTTATAGTTTACAAAGTTCATATTTGATTGTACGTCTTATAGTACCTTTCTCGTATATTCAAGTGGCTTTGGGTACAAAGTTACAAATAAGATGTGACAACAATTGCTTTGAAAAGTAGCAAAAATTTCGAATAACTTACATTTGCATAGGACTTGTGTTTGCATGTAGTGGAGAGACACCATGGGTCAAAATTTATTTCAATAAAAAAAGAAATTTGGCCAATTCTTCTTGCGTTACATTTTGCCCATTTCTCTCTCAAGTCTCTTGAGCTGCATGCAGTCGTCTATCTTTTAACATCTGTTAGATCTTTCACTAATTCCAATAACTGGAATGTAGCCAACTTTAGCAAGTTGCATAGATCCTCTTACAAGCTGCTTTTTTTTTATCTTTACTTTGTGATATAGTGCATAAAACTGCACTTAACTCAACTGAGCCTCAATTAAAACTAGTTTTCCTTGGCCTCTTGGATCCTATACTTTATATCGCTGTCAACCAAGATATGACCAGTTCTGCAGTAGCTGACAGCTACCGTAACCTCTTTATTTAGGGTTTTAGGCCAGCCATCTTCAATCTGGAACTGATGCTTTCTGTTACATAAACAAGGTTTAATTTCTACAGAAAATGCATGTATTCCCTTTGTGGTTCATATTCTGCATAATGGTCATTTGCAACTGCAATTTCTTATTTCACATCTTTAAATTATTTTCAGGTTGGTCTTCTTCTTCAAGCTATGGGCTATTCTAATAGTACAATGATCTATGTGGCTGGTTCTGAAACTTTCGGAGGTCAACGCGTTTTGATCCCTCTGCGTGCCATGTTCTCCAACACTGTGGATTGCACTCGAGTGTGCACTAAGCGAGAATTGTCTGATTTGGTTGGCCCTGAAACACCTCTTCCATTGAATCCTTTCCAGCCACCTCCTACCAAAAGTGAGGAACAACTTAAAGAAGAGTGGAATAAGGCAGGTCCTCGGCCTCGTCCCCTTCCTCCACCTCCAGACAGACCCATCTATCAACATGAAAAAGAAGGGTGGTACGGTTGGATCAGTGAGTCTGACACAGAACCAGACCCTTCACCTGTAGATCTGAGGATGCAAGCACACAGGTTACTCTGGGATGCCCTTGATTATATTGTATCAGTGGAAGCGGATGCATTCTTTCCTGGTTTTCATAACGATGGTAGTGGATGGCCGGACTTCTCAAGCTTGGTCATGGGACAGCGGCTGTATGAGAGGGCTTCTTCTAGAACATATCGGCCAGACAGGTATGATGGTTAAAAACTCCTATTATGACTTCAAATTGGCCAGAGCTTAAAACGTATTGTATCATCCCTTGGAAATTATTGAATATGATATGTTCCAATGCACAAAATGGAAGCATAAAAGGGTAAATCTCCTCAACTACCTGATATTTGAGGTTCAGAAATTTCTCCAGTCTTAAAATGTCAGTAGGATTTTGTTTGTTTGTTTGTTTTTGGGGGGGGGGGGGGGCGCGGGGCACTGATTTAATTTTTTAGTATCTGTTTCCATCTGATGGTATGGATCCTCTATGATGCCGGACAGCGTAGAGGTTTGTTCTGGATCTGACTTTGGAGACTGTTTAGGGCTTTATTGATGTGGATTTCTGCTGGAGTTGTATAAACTATTGGAGTCACACTAATTGGGTTTCTAAGAGACACCTAGAGGATAAAAAAACCTAAGCTTCACACTTAGGGGTCTTACGAGCCAAACCCAAGGGAGATAGATTGATTCGCACAATCAAAAGAAAATTGCGTGAATTTTATTCATAATCTGTCATTCTAAAATATTGAAAGACTACATGCTATTTATAGAGTTCTTGTAGTCCAAATCCAACAAGGACTTAGATTCCTAAATAAGAAAATACTAAGCCTATGTAGAATAGGAGAAAGCTAATACAACTAATTAGTCTTTAGGACTAATGAAATAGACTTCGACAATTTCCAGATTTTCCAGCAAACCTAAAAATCAATAAAGTAATTTAAATAGAACACTTAAATCTTAGTCTTTGTCGTCTGCATCATCCTCTCCAGCTTGGAGAAAACTCAACCTCGAGTTTTTGAATAGATGTGATAGCATCCTCATCATCGACAACGTCATCAGCCTCGTAAGTCCCAAAATCAAAAAGAATTTCTTGGCAAATCAGATTCTTGTTTTGCAGCTTCCTTTCCTTGCCCCAACATGCAAATTATTCTTCTTAGGACATTGGTAACCTATTTGTCCATGCTCTCCACATTTAAAACAGACAGGCCCTTTGTTACCTCTACTTTTGGTGTAGATTACATTTGATGTTTTTGAGGTATAGGAACGACTAAAAGGTTGTGGAGGGGCTGTCCTTACTCCTTTATTCATGTCATGGTACCTTCATGTTACTGTCTCCCCAGCTTGAAACCCAGTTTTCCCTGTAATTGGGTGCTTTAGGTACTCTTCTGCATCGGTTGCTACTTGACAAGCATGCTCCATACTGTAAAGGTCCTTCCCAAGCAATTCCCTCTTGAAATCGACCCTCAAACCAGCCTTGAATCTGACAAGGGCTTATTCAGGATCTTCCACAATTTGACCTCTAATCTTCAGCTCTTCAAATTTTTCCATATATTCATGAATAGTTAGGCCCTTGTCGTAAAGCATAAGCTGCCTCACAATTCTTTTGAACATAGTTGGCTGGCATGTACTTGTCAATAAGCTTGGCTTTCATCTCAAAAGCCAATTAGTGATGGGTGCATGTCCCAGTCGACCTAGGTCCTGCTCAACACGATACCAACGAATCGTGGCTAATCTGGTAAGTTTCATCTTTGCAAACCCTACTTTTCGTTCATCCAACATATCATACCAATTGAAGAATGTTTCCATGGACCAAATGCAATCATTGAATAGTTTAGGATCTGGCTTCCCTTTGAAATAAGGAACATCAACCCTTGCTTTCTTTGTAATATCACCGGAGTTTATTATTTTGGGCAGCCGCAACACCTTGATTTTGCGGAAGATGGTTAGCAATAACTGCGTCAACAAGCTGCATGTGCAATTCATCAATGCTAGATTGCAGTGTACCCAACCTTTCATCCATAGATTTCTTGCTTGCTTCAACTTCTAGTCAAAAGGCTTCAAATTTTGCATCGACTTCATTGGCAGTCGATTGAAGAATGCAGGGGGAAAAAAAAACCTTCTAGGTTCTTGAAGGCTTTGATACCAACTGATGCAGGACAGCCTAGAGGGCTGTTCTGGATCTGACTTTGGAGGCTGTTTAGGGCTTTATTGATGTGGATTTCTGCTGGAATTGTATAAACTATTGGAGTCACACTAATAGGGTTTCTAAGAGTCACACCTAGAGGATAAAAAAACATAAGCTTCACACCTAGGGTTCTTAGGAGTCACACCTTAGGGAGATAAATTGAGTCACACAATCAAAAGCAAATTGCTTGAATTTTATTCATAAACTGTCATTCTAAAATAATTGAAAGACTAAATGCTTATTTATAGAGTTCTAGTACTCCAAATCCAATAAGGATTTAGATTCCTAAATAAGAAAATACTAAGCCAGTGTAGAATAGGAAAAACTTAATAAAACTAATTACTCTTTAGGACTAGTAAATAGAAAATAAAACCTAGACTTAAGACAATTTCCAGATTTTCCAGCAAATCTGAAAATCACTAAAATACCCGTGCATTCTAAAATTTAAATCACACACATAAATCGTATTCTTTTGTCATCAGCATCACTCTACTTCCACAATTTATGTTTGGTAAGTAGCAGCTGACTATTCATCTTCAATTAAAACACTTCATAGTGCTATGAAGCATTTACAGTTTGTCATACTCTGGCAGAAAGAGAGGGAAAGATTTGCCAAGAATGCAGTAGATGCTATCAGATTTCTAATGAAGGAAATCAACCTGCATTTGCATTCTCACATAAGACTATATATGTGTATTTGTGTGGTGTCAAATCAATTTTTTTTCCTTCTGCTCTTCTATAGAACCAACTCTTAGTTGGCTGCACTTCCCAAATAATAATGTTATATTGAGACAGCCACGAGAAATATTGTAGCATGCCAGGGAAAAAAGTGTGTTGCAGCTTGTAATTTAGTTTCCTGTTTTTGGTCAATCTTGACATATCTTTTTGATGCTCACTTGTATTTAATAAAATAGAACAAATCATTCTGATGCTTTATTGGTTCTTCAAACAGGAGAGTTATTGCAGAACTCTTCAACATTACCCGTGAGAACATGTACTACCATCGCAATCATCATTGGAAAATTTCAATCAGGGAACATCTCAACAAAAGCTTGAGTGAAGATGGCCTTATCAGGCAATCCCTTCTGTCAAAGCCAACCACATTCCTGTCTCACCCGCTTCCTGAGTGCTCTTGTATAATTCCTTCTGCTGAGGTTCCAAAACAGGCAAAAGGTAATGATGGCCGGTTCCTATATGGAGGAGAGGATGAGTGCCCAAGATGGATGCAGCGTAGTCAGGAAGATACTCACCCAGAGTCAGCAGTAGCGGAAGATAGTAGTAATGATAATAGTGAGTTAGAATATGAAAATGATGGTGTTGAACAGCAAGAATCTGATGACAAAGAAAGTAAAAGTAGTCTTACTCAACTACTGATGGATCAGGATGATGAATGGGATCCCAATGACTAGAAGTGGATGCGCTGATGAAATGACTTCTGTTTTTATAATTGAAGCTGGTAGTCATCTTTTCAGCAATATCTTCTGGGACGTAAAGTTTTGGGGATGAGATGACAAGTCCAAAGGTCATTTTTCATAGTTCCGACATAGTGTTTTGAAGGAAATATTCAGATTTATTCTTTCCTAGTAGATTTAAGGATACCTTCACTTATAGAAAAGAAAAATATTTGTATACCTTCATACTGACTTTTTTAACGTGACGGTGGTGAGCATGACTGATGCCTTCAAGATGAGCTTATTGCAGCCTGTTGCAGAAACAGAAATGCCCCCTTCTTCTGAGAAACATTGAAGATGTTTTAGCACAGAGGAGCATGAATGTGGGAATGTTGTATTAGGCAGCTTGCAGGTAGTTCCACTTGAAGATCTTTTTGGTATCTGAAACATTAATTTCTGTTCCTTAAACTGAACTTCATGTCAAGAGTGTAAAGTTGATTCGAACAGAAATCAATGATACAAGTGTTTTTTTTTTTTTGTTGTGTGTGTTATATTTCCAACAATTTGATGTTAACAGATAACGTATGTGGATGTTATTATGTCATTGTCGTACAACTTCAATGGCCTGCCTGCACAGATAATTCTGTTTTACAAACACGAAGCACCCTGGCAAATGCAAGTGGTGACCTTGGTAAAGCCTGTCGCAGAATACAATAGTTGGTCGATGTAACTGTTGGGTGTATGGTGAACCCCTTAAAACATACGAGTCGAGGGTAGAAATACATGGGATGGGATGATTGGCACATCTAACCTTGTGCAATTTCAGAGAGATGTTGAATTATAAGGAATCAGAACTGACCAGTTCGCTTGGCTAACCTGCACCTCTGTTCGGATAACACATTTTGAAGTATATACATGCCAGCATTAATTAACAAACCAGCATGGAAAAGGGCAGGGGTCGCAGGGAACAAAACAATTTTGCCGAGTGCTGGCAATCAAGCATCAACACATGGTTTACCTGTTCACAGGCGGGCCTTTTGCCTCTTCTCCTTTCTGGATAAATTGCTCCCGTACAACTATACTGTAATTAATGTTTTTAATAATGTTTTTACAATCAACATCCATACAGGGTTAGGAAATTGCTTTGCAGGAATAAACCCAAAAAGAACTCCCAAATTTAAAACCATTTCAGGCATCAACCAATAGGACACAAGTACTTTTTAAGCTTTATTTCTTGTATATTAAAGAATATAACAATACATGGTTATAGAAATGGCGCACAAAACCAAATTCATCATAGAAAACGGACAGGAAAGTTGGAATTTCAAACACGGACTTCAAATACAAATTGACAAATTGCCGGAAGGGTTACAAAGGTCTATCTCACAACTCATGTTACATTTGTACATTATACAAGACCACAAATAGGCTAAGCACCTTTTTTGTTACTCCATGGCTTAATCACAGCCACAACGATGATGACAACAATGATAAGAAGGATTATAATGGCAATGCACATCCATTTTCTAGAGTTCCTTTGCAACTTCTTTGCCTTTTGTAGAGCAACATTCCCTGACTGCACATGATCTACTGCATTTGAGACCTGAAATTGCAGTATGCTGTTAAGCCACAGGGTTCAAATTCTGAGAACCATCACCTACAGCTACATATTACTATTAGACTATTATTTTTAAGCACTGATTCATTCCTTTCCGATCCAAGACACAACAAGAAGCACGAATCAGAGATGAATTCTTTACCTGCGATTTATTTTCTTAGTAGTATCTATGCTCCTTTTTGTCACTATTAAAATTCTTTTATCAAGAAAAAAGAAAACAAAACAAAAAAAGAAAATACCTGTGATTCTATGTTGTCAAGCAAGTCCCCTTGTGCATCTACCAAGACTGCCATATCCAGAAAAATCTGCATGACACGTGAATAAAGAAAACAGAATCCTTCATGCCACTCTCTCAACAAATGTTTTCAAACTGCAAATCCTACTGAGTGCACATGCACATATGCCATTGTCGATAAAAAATTACTACTTGTTCCAGAACCTCAATTCCACAATTAATTAGTGAACACTCCAATGGCAAGAGTTTTATGAGAATGTTAAAAAACAAAAAGCTCATCAGCCACTTGCCTGCTCTAAATCTGACATAGTGTGGTCAAATGCTAATCACATGGCCCTAAATTAATTGAATAACCAATATACAATTTATTTTCCATAGAAATCTCCTATGTCAAAATCTCACCACATCTAAATAAAGATCACATCAAAAACTACTTGACTAAGCTCAAGCTCACCACAAGACCCTCAAAATTAATTGTCATGCCCAATGTGAAAGTTACCTCAAAAAAATCAGTGTTGAAAGTGGAACGACAAAGTTAAGCCGGGACCATTTTCAGTTTGAGGCAATCAAAGTTATGACATCAAAATTTTTACATGTTAAGAAGCTACAAAAACACCAGTTTGGTGCGAAAAGGGAAAAAGGTCAAATTGTAGTATTATGGTACACCTGTTGTAATTCCAGAAGTTTCCTCTCCAACTCTCTAACTGCATCATGGCGCTCTTGAATTTCTGCCAAAGTATCCATTATCTACAGACAAAAGTACACAGGTGAATTCAGGAATGACCCTTTATGATGATTCAGTATTTAGGCAAATAATGAGCCAAGTGGCAAAGTATTAACAAAAATTATCCAAACAACCTCCAATGTTTTTCAAGGAATAAAAAAGAAAATTTGGAGAAAGAAAGAGAAAAATGAAGACACAAAGGCATAGTGATGATGGGAAGAATGAGCAAATCATATACATGGCCTCCTAAGATACAGTTTTCTCGACCAATTTCACCAAAAGCATTAGACATTATATCTTCAAGAAATTCAACATTTTGTTCCTCTTTCAAAACCTTCCAAGATAGGAAGAGAAGGTCCCCTAAGGGACATACGAGCAGTTGAGACTTGGGATTTCAATTTGAAGGTCTCAGGTTTAAGGCCTAGGAGAGGTAGGTGGGATTTAGGAATTGGGGAAGGGCTACCTCTTGTGGTGTAGTCCAAAACCAGTTGGGCTGGCCTCCCATAAAATAAATTAAAAAAAAAAAAAGATTGGAAAAGAAAAGAGCAAGTGGAGGAAAATAAGACCAACAGACCTGGCCTCTCCCTTGTTCCTGAATTGCTTTCTGAAAAATTTGTTCACTGTCTCCAGTCTCAATCAATCTGTCAATTGTCTGTACATTTTGGAATAACAAGAATGAGCTTATAGGAAATATGAATTTGCTTGCAGTTTTTTTAATACAACAAATTTCACCTCTTCATCTGCTCTTGTTCCCGTCACTGAAAATTGTGGAAATCAAGAAATATAAAAGATTAGCATCGTATCATGGAGAAAAGGGCTATCAAGTTATTGGCATAATAACCGCACCTAATTAGAAACTAAGAGAATGGCCAACCTGTAAAAACACGCCTCTCAACAACCTCCCGATACTCTTGATGGATGATTTCCCTAAGAGTCTATAAAAATTTACAGAGATGTTATAAGATCACTGTCACAAAATAGGCAAAGAAGCAAGAGATCCTCATTCAGATATGCATGTTTATGTGTCTCTACTGACCTGAAATTCAGCCATCTTGTCTTTCAACTTCTTTTTTAAGGCTCTGCCATAATGTTATAACACAAAGTCAGATATGGTTCCACCAAGCAAAAATTTGGGCAATTCTTCCAAAAGATCTACAAACTCCAACAGGGCTCTAATAAAATTTCGAAAGGAAAAGGTAAGAACAAAAGCAGAACTCAGACAGGGCAGTATATTTTCATCAACTTTAAATGCGTTAGCATCGGAATTTCTAGCTCTATTTGACTGCAACTGTAGCATTCCACAAGGAATAACTCATTTCCTTTCAATTAGTTTCTCTTCCAACTGGTTTACAAAATTAGAGACAACGACTCTCCTATGGGTAATTTGGCTAGCCCTTAATAAATTGTTTGATTTGCAGCCACTCTCCTATGGATCTTTCCATGATGATAGTGCAACAATAAGGAAGTCTAAGTACATGCTATACTCAAAAAGGAGAATGTCTTCAGAGATAATACTCAACTCACGTATCTGCTTAGGTGTGTAATATTTTCCTTAATAAAGTGTATAAAAATACTAGTTTTGAGGGGGGCACTCAAAAAAGCCTTTATTACAAGAGTTGTGCACATAGACAAAAAATTTCTGGGACATTCTTATGCTTATACAAAGAAATTAATTGCAGACAATATTTTGAAAAAACAAACCCACAATCTTAACACTTATTTATATATAATCAATAGTACATGCATACAGTATATTCTCCCACAAAAAGGCCAAAATGACAGCTATCAGACATAAAAATCACCAACTAAAGGACACATGTTTGTGGTTGGAATCCTACAAGTAAGACTATACTGCAAAAACACCTGTAATATTGTCATCTGATTTAAACCTTCTTTCAGTTTCAAACTGCAGATTTAGACCACTGAGCTTCATCATATCCTGACTTTACATACATTTTAGCATACAATATTATTGTGAATCCTCATGTGTCATTTACCCCATAAAAAAGATCTGTTTGTCTACCATGTTTGTGGTGTGTGCGTGCGAGCATGTGTGTATGTGTAAGTCTGCTTATTATAAAGAGAAAAGGTAGCAAAGAAGAGTTGAAATGTAAATTACATAGTAGTTGAAGTTCTTGACCGGTCTACACCTGTTCCTTTTCCACATCCTGGCTTCTGCCTATTTGATAAATTCTGGTCAACATAAAGCAGATGTTGTTAACTATCAAAATGCTGTAAATCAATTAAAAAAAGAAAAAAGAAGCAGTTGGTCTACCTCTCTGTCAAGTTCCTCAAGTTTTGACTTTACTGAACGAGCAATTTTTCCAACTTCATCAACATCTTTCTCCATTCGCTGCTTGATTCCTACAGAAAAAACCAAACCAATCATCAATTTAGAGAATACGAATCTAGAAATATTAAGTTCAAAGAGTTAAGAAAATGAAATTGAATCAAAGAGGGGTTGGAAAGGAGAAAGGAATCATAAGTTAATAGTGAAAAACATAGATTCACAAAATAAAAGAAACATACTTTACAATTTCCTTCTGCAGGCATAAGTCATTAAATGCTTGTGGAAGGTAAGTTGAAGCACACAAATTGAAGCTAGCTAGTTATATCTTTAGGTCCTTTATACTTGGGGACAGTATGAAGCTTCTGTCTACCTTGAACTTCAAAATTGCATTCACATTTCATATGCTAAGTAGCTGCATTTATTCACCTATCTTGATAATACTGATTGACTTCCCCAATTATGCACAGCACTCGACTTTCTAACCATTTCAAAAAAAAAAAAATAATCGGAGCAAGCAATCAACCTACAAAGTTGGGAAAATTAGGCATGCGGTGTAGCTGTCTTCTTATGTATGTTTGCTTTCCCAATTTCAATCAATTTCTTTCTTTTCACAACATAACTGTTATTTGAATTTACAAACATAAGAACAAAGACAAGCATATATATATATATATATATTTTACAGACAGAGATAGAGAGAAAGAGAGGTTAATAAAAAATAAGTTGTGAAATATCTACCAAAAAAAAAAAAGTTTCTTATTACCTTTCATGGCAGGAGCCTTGGTCACAGCCTTTGACTCCTCGTGTGCATCCTGCATAAAGGATTTGCAAGAAATGGGAAACAAAAACACACCTTAATTGATTCGCATCATCAAAGACATTAATTGCACCTGCACCACTTTCTATCATTTGTGCAACCGTACATCATGTTGTAGGTGTTGCTTAGCATGAATTAAACGAATTTTTTCTGACTTATCTGAGCACCACCCAGTCTATACATGCAAATAACAAGACTGGAAATAGGGAAGTCTTATAACATAGTTCACCAGCAATACATTTTCCAAACATGCAAATCTGAGTTTCTGAAATGCTAATATTATCACCTAGTTTAAGCTATATGTTCTATAATGAAGTGAACTTCTCTATAAAACCCCAATCCATCCTCTGAGAAACAAAATGAAAACAGCCTTCAATGAACCAAGTGCCATAGAACCATTTACAGAGTACTTATCCAAATACAATGACCATAAGCATACCAAACCAGAGGATGCTAAAATAAAGATATTGACCTTATTTAAGTGAAAATATTATATTCCAGAATAATATAGCATTATCTTGCCCACAAAACTTCGAAAAAAAAAATGGATCTAGACGAGGTGGATTTCTGATTACTATTCTACAGAAAGGCATGCAAGTCACAGGATCACCTACAGACCTAAATTCACACAGCTCTCCAAGAGGAAAAGATTTTTCTTTGAGGAAAATGGGGGAAAACAGGATGAACCTCGAGCTTATGTGATCTCTTTGAGAGAAGTAATTTTCAACTTTTTCCAAACCTAAAGCATTGACTTACTAAAAAGTTATGAGGCTGTCAACCTTCTTCTTTAAGTTAATTTAGAACTTGCTGAATGGGGCTCATACCTGGAGCTTTTTGAGCAGCTTGTCCAGCTTCTCATTCTGTTTCTCGATCTCTTGAACCTGGGAAACAAGGAACGAGGATATGGTGTCAACTAATAGACACAAGATGGAAACACCAAAATATAGGACTTGGATGGCAACAACAGTATCAAAAGGATAATGACAAGGTGTCAGGAACAACCAAAACAAAAAGAAAAGGGAGAGAAAAATATATTAAGAGAACCTTTTTAAAGAAATTCTCCAAGCCCAAGTCTGCAGAATTCATTCCCATCTCAATATCCCCACCTCTAGAACCCTGACCCCGAGGGATCTCAAAGGACTCCTGCAATTTTTAAACAAGTTATTGAACTTTCCATGTAACCCAGCTCAAACACAGCCACAATTCTGACAATTAAACATCACAAGCGCCGAAACGTTACAGTAATTTGATTATAAGAAAGGAGTGATCTACTAAAATTACCAAGGAGGGACAACTAATTTCTTGTGTCCAAAGCAATTCAATTTGGCTTCTCATGTTTTAGACATATTCATTAGCATCTCAAAGCCTAGATCTTTATGAATCAAATCAGCGCATTTGAGCACTACATTGACACGTGAATTAAACAATATAACATCGTTCCATATCTAGATTTAAAGAGTAGATTTCAATAAGTGTCAGCTAAATTACGCTGATCAATCATGTCATGCTCAATTTACTGACTTTTTAACGTTTTGTTTTCGGGGTCCCCAAAAGAAAAAAAAAAGATCCCATGATTCAAAATTATGAATTGCCTTCATTTTCCTCCTCTTTCTCACCATCCAAACATAACCCCCCAAAAAACTTTAAAATAAAAAGGAACCCATAATTAAATCCTCAGTTTCCAAACAGATCCAATGAAACAAATGCAGACAGAAAAAAAAGGAATATATTAACATAGCTGTCATTATCAAAACAAGGTCAGATCAAGACCAAGACAAGACAAACAAAAACAACATTGATCAATACAAACTCAAAGAAAAACAAAACAAAAGGAGGGAGAACATGTGTTTACCGATAAAAGGTCATTCATTGTTGAAGAAACAGCAACTAAAAAGAAGCCTGCTTTTGTTTTTGTGTTTCTCGAAAAAAAAAAAAAACACAACAACAACAACAATGGTTTGAAAGAGTTATTTGTTAATAATTAAGACCCGGTTTTTGTTTTAATTTTTAACAAAGAAAACGAAAAGGGAAACCCCAGGTCTTAATTAAGGGAGAGTGGGGTTTCGTTTCTTTTCTTTTCTGTCGTTACAGAAAGAGAAGGAAATTGATTTGCTGTTTTCGTGTTGAAACTACGGAAGAAGAGAGAGAGGCAGAGAGGGGTGCCAGGCTGCCAGCTCCCTGTTTGTCTTAGGGAGGAGATATTCTATACGATGCACGGCAGGAATTGAACGTGTTTGGACCGTTGCTCTAACGGACCCAGTAAAGTACTTAAATTTGACGGTCTAGATGCTGTGGTTTACAGATTGTAGTTTTCTTTCTCGGCAAAACCCCTAAATTTACTCATATCTTTGTGTCATTTATTCAATTTTACTCCTATGTTAAAGATTTGGTCAATTAGACCACGTTTTCTCTTATTTATCCAAAGGTACCCGTGTGTTTTAATTTTCATCGTCTAGATCTCCTGATCTTATCCAATTTTACCTTTAAGATTGTACTTGGTATGTAATTAAAACTAAAAGATTAATTATTACCGAATTTATTATAATTTTAATTATTTTTAAGGGTATAAAGTTGTTTTTTAGATTGTTTAGTAGAAGTTCAAAAACCATGTGAGTTGATTTATACTTAAAGTTATCTCTTAAGATTGTTTGGTATGTTATTTTTAAATTATTTTTCTTTTTAAGGTGCATGTATATAATAAGATTCTATTCATACTATTTTCCTAAGAAAAAAGGGGGCACAGTATTGTTGAACATTAAAAAAATTTCATGGAAAAACAAGATGTACAAATATTACAATAAATTTAATTTTTTAATTATAGTTTCATTTTCATTTACTCAATATCGATACTAAAAGTAACATAAGAAAATTATGTTACAATCACAAAATTCTAGATACTACTATTGTGCCATCAAGGATTAGATGTTAAACGTCTATATCTAACGGTCGAACTTTTTAATTTAAATCAACTATGCTCCAACCTCAAATTGTTGACGAGAAACATTATGAAACTACACAAAAATTTAAGTAAACTTTAACGCTACAGAAAACTTCAAGACATTATAGATATCCTTGGGTTGAAAAAATTATCCAAAGAGGACCGCTTAATAATAGAAAGAGCACAAAAAATTGAGTGTTTCTTATCACAATCTTTTTCCGTAGTCGATATTTAATTGATCACCGAAAAGTACTTAGCCTTTCAAGATGTTCTTTGTTGATTTGCACGAGATTCTACCGACCATGTCCTATAGGAATCATTGAGTCAATAGTAATAAGTCTCGTTTGAAGATGCTCATATGCGGAATGCCTTGAAATAATTATGGAGCAAAGCTTCAATTAATCGAGATTCAACAACGGATTTTCTAATAAGTCTTACAAGAAGCTCTAGAATCTTTGAATATTTGCTTGAATGATGACTTCCATTTACTTGCTATTGGTGTTAATATTGACATGTTCGGGGCGATGAAAGAAATAATAACTAATTAGTTTATTTTACAGCGAGGCATTATTTTTGTAGGTTAATATTCGAACCACTAGAGATAGAACATTTCTTTTAATTTCTAAATCACTTTATTTAGAATTGATTAAACGAGGCTTGATAATAAGTCGACAAATCGGGATATAGAAAGATATAATTGAAATGTTGAATTCTTTCTATATCCATTGTTTCATCGAGAATACTACCATTAGAGGAACTTAGAGAATCGGGAAAATGAAAATCATTAACAATAGAATTCTATAATTGGGAAATTTTGCAAGGGATTTATCACAAAAACATCCCTATGCTATTTGGATTTTTTTTAATGGGCCCTTTTTTTCTTTTCTTTTCTTTTTTATTCGCCATGTTTTTCTACTCCTAACATTTTCTTAATGCAACTTTTTTTATCATTCTTCGACTATTTTTTTTATTTTTTGTCAAAATCACATCCGGCAAAAAAAAAAAAAAAAAACCACAAATTCCTTTTCTCTCTCTAACTATCTCGATCAAAACAAGTAGCTAACCCTTTCTTTCTTTTTCTATTTTCTTTTTTTGTTCTTATTTGTTGGTGAGATTCTCATCTCACAAACTATTTTCAATCCATTTCAGCTTTAATTCTTTTTCTTCTTGTCTCTCTTATACTAAAAAACCCTCAATTCATATTCTCATCCATTCTAACCCTAAAATCCTCAATTCGATTTTTTCATATTTGTAAATTTTAAATAACATAGCTTCATCATCTTCATCCTCATCATATAGAAAATTTGATTATGGAATGAATTCATCATCCTCCATTGTCACCAGTGAATTTGTCTATCGTAATTAGGTGGTTGATATCGTAGTGAAGGGTTAAATAGATCAAACTTACTAGTTATGATCAATGAGTTTGACTAGTGAGGATGAGAAGAGTGGCATGAACATTAATGGAGCTCAACCTTGCAAGTTGAGAATGACGAGGGTGAGAAAGATGGAATAAGGATCACTAGAGCTCCTTATCCACCGCTAAAAAAATTTGGCCGTATTTGCAATGAAAGCATTTTACTTTTGCTATGGATCTTTGCTTTGGGTTTGAATTGTGTGGTTGTTACTTTTGTGATCTTTATGATGAATGATTAGAATATAGATGGCAGGGGGTGGATTTGGTTAGTGGTGCTCGTTAGAAATCTTAGGAATGTTAGATAATAAGTTAAGTGTACTATGAAGGAAATTTAAAAGTATTTTCAAGTGGGACTTTATTCTAATTGGAAAGGAATAGAAAGAAAAGGCAGACTTATAAAGTGAACCTCTAGCAAAACTTTCAAATATTTGATTGAAGGAACTAGAGGGAAAACTAGATTAATGTTAAATGTCTTTTCTTTTATCTTTTCTTTTCTTTTTTATCTTTCAAGATATCCCAAACCTAAAGATCAGATTAATCCCTCGTTGTTCTATCGGACGTATAAGATGAAGATATCTACTTAAAGAGTTTTTTACATACACAAGGATTCAAATTTAAAACCACTTGTTTAAGCTACTAAAACTCCTTCTATTCAAGTTAAGTCTGCGTTTGTTTGGGGGAAACAAGTTCCTGGAACTTGTTTTCCTCATTTTTCGATGTTTGTTTCACATTCGGGAAAAAAGTAAATGGAAAATGATTTTCGAGTCAACGGAAAATGATAGAGTAATTTTCGGAAAATGTTTTTCCAGTTTCAAAAGAGGAAAACATTTTTCTTCTCACAAGTCGTCTTGCTCTCTCGTTACATAACTCTCTCTCGATATATTTTAATAATTTTTTTCTCTATCTTCTTTTTATTTAAAATACATCATATTAATTTTTAATTATTTCTTATCAATTATTATTAATTATTTAATTATTGTTTCTCTATCTTTACTAATATTTGATTTTTTTGATCTATAGATACATTAAATATTCCTAAAAACCATTTTTACACCTTAAAATTATTTTTATAATAAATATTTTAATAACTTATCTCTTTTTTTTTTTTTTATACTATTTTCTCAATCACTAACTAAGCTATAGTTAAATGATTGAAAATGATTATTACAAGACTATAATTTTTTGTAAAAAGAAATTAAAATTAATTAATTTATCAATAAATACATTATTTTTTCAACACCATTCATTTGCAATTAAATCAATAATTTATAATTTTAATCAATTATAAAATTTTGTTGGTAATTGCAATGAATAATTAGTTACAAATTATTCCAATATTAATCTTTTGAGATCAAATAAATAATTATCTATAGATGATAACAAATAATTTATAAAATTATTTTTTAGACTAAATTATTAGTTCAATTTCTTTAAAAAAAAATTCTTAATTGAGTTACTAAAATAATAATGCTAAGATTACTTAGAATCTTTTTTTTACCAAATATGAATATTGACTTAATTTTGTCCCAAGTAATTTTGATGATTTGGTTTGATTGTTAAAAAAGTACATTTTATTTTTTGAATTAAAATTTTAGAGTTAGTATTGATGAAAATTTATTAAATTTTTCTAAATGTATCTTACATTATGAAATTATGAATGTCTTTTTAAAATTTTTTCAAAACTTGTTGATATAACAATCACATAAGTTTTTGTATTTTAATTTTTTGTATCAAACAAACGTTGTAATATATTTTATAGTAATTTTTTCATATAATTACCAAACAACAGAAAATATTTTTTTGAAAAATAATTTTCAGAAAAATAGGTTCATCACGAATTGATTTTTCTATGGAACTTGTTTTCCTCCAAAACAAAAACAGAGCCTTGGAATTTTTTTTTTCTTTTCCTTTTGAAACGACAAAGTTTGGTGCACAAATTTACGTGGGAGGTAAAAGTTTCAACAAATTCCGCACACTCGTGTTAACACCCTATAAGTAGGAGTTTTTAAATGCATCAAATTAAAGTTAAGACAAGTAAGAAGTGCTGGAATCAAATTGATGCAACCAGTAATATAAAGGCCTACTCGTGTAAAAGCTCTACAAAAAATAAAACTTGATAAACATTGGATCCAAGATACTAATATTTATATTTTAATATCATAAAATTAGAATTTCTTTTCATTCCAAACTTACAATATTCGTGAATTACCTTTGTCTAGAGTCTTTATTCAAATAGAATAAAGATTTCATTGAGGGCTTCATTTTTAACATCATTATATGAAAAATATAGTTTTTACAAATCTTTTTATTGTACAGAAGGTCCAATTAATTATTTTCCTAGTAAAATATAACATAAGACAATAACGATTCCTATAAAATAGAATAAAAAAGGTCCAATTTGATAATTTTCTGATTTTTGATGTAATTTTAATATTTTAATTATATGTAAAGTGAATATAAATTTAAAATATAGACAGGAATCGTAATTTATGAATCATTTTGTTTAAAAGGGTTT